ACTATCTCATTGTTTCCTCATCGTAATTTTAGAAGCTTTTCGCACAAACAGATTTCATTCTTTTCTCGGCCTCAACCGTGATCGCTTAACCTTTTGTCGACCAATCTCCCCGAATTGGGAACGTATTAATAATTTTATTGCTCTCCGCAAATATATTTCCATTTATCTTTCGCTCTTCATCTTTCATATTACGTTGGGCATTTCACAGTTATATGTAAAGAAGATAAAGCCCGTTGCTATCGGGCTCTTAACGCACATGTGATGTAATTATTCTTAACATTTGAAGGACCAAGGTAGCCAATTTGGCTCCTTGCAAACAGCTATAACTTCATTCAAACAGCTATAACTTTTTTCAATTTCTCTTCCATATGATAACCTTTTGTGACTTTTCATCATAATCTTAATTTTGGTAAATAAAAAATTTAATTATACAAAATGGTGTGTTGAATTTTTATTTAATTGTCTACCTAGAAAGACCATTAGAGCCAATTTGGCTCCCTTATTTCTGATATTGCATTCACATATGTTTTACAGTTTATTAACAAATTTTATGGCTTTAAACAGATAAATAAATATTTTTATACATATGTATATGAAAAGTTATAGCTGAATTTTGCGAGGAGCCAAATCGGCTACCTTGGTCCTTCTAGTGTTCAAAGAACTAAGATTCTCCATCTGATTATTGCGTAATATTCGTAGTGCATCAAATATTTATATAAATTTTTATTCTTAGATTTTTTATTGTCCTTTATAACGTCGATCATTGAAAAACGATTTAAATTTTTGCACTTAAATATTTTATTATTTTTTATAGGAAAAAGGATGGGAAAATGAACTACACACACACACACACACACACACACACACACACACACACACACACACACACACACACACACCACACACTTTTCTAGACGAAAAACTTAATTAAATGCAATAATTGCATCGATAACAGTCAGAAGTGTTAGCAAATATATATTTCTTCTATTGTATTTTTATAATCATTAAGAAAATGAAATAAACTGCTGAAAGAGCACAAAATCTTTTTTAACATAATGCAAGAAGTGGGGTCTTAGAAAATGTGCTAAAACGAAACAGCCATGAAAATAAAGAAAAAATTTACTTTTTACTACAATATTATAAAACTGTTGATGTTAAAAATGACTTTTTTTATTGAATTTATTCGAATATAAAAATTATAAATAAAAATTCACACCTATTGCATAAGACGTGGAAATATAAGATTTGATGAATATGGAATACTTTATTATTACCACCCATCGCTGTTTTTCGACACAACCTAATAAATTTCAAAGTAGGAATAACATTCCCGAATAACTGACTTTGCAACTTTAAAGTTTAATCTTATAACTAATCAACATACTATAGCTAAGATTAGATTCAAGACAGGAAAAAGATGTTTGTACCACGTGGAAAGTTTCTTAACGGCAAGGAAAACTGCTTCTCTCAACACTATAAACAACGTGGCCCTGACACCAGACCTCTCTAGTAGCCAATAAGAACCCTAGTGATTATGTTTATTTTATTTGCTAGCAAATCGCAGCAATTATTTAAGAAATCAGTTTCGTTTCCGCCCTGTTTCCCATCTTTCCCTGACGTTCACCACTAAAAGGCAACTTGACTTTTTCTCCTTAACCCATAACGGGCACCATGGGGTCCCAGGGACCTCAACTAATTTTATTTTCGTGATAATTCCTAAACTATCCACTGTATGGCGCTAATATCCTCAGTTTCTTCTTTTCGAGTAACAGTTTTCAGTGTGACAGAAGAAAAGATCATCAAGTTATTTGTAAGTAGGTGTGAATTATATGCATTTGTTTTTTGTCTGAAGTCACAGTGACTCCATTGTACCGTTAATGTTACTTTTATGAAAATAATTTTCTTAATCTTCAGCTCAATATGATTCATTTTTCACGCAAAAGAGTAAGCTCTTGCCTTTCAGTTAGTAGAACCTGAACTTAAGAGACGTCTTACAACTCAATATATTTATAAGCCATTGCGTTTAATAATTTCATCTATTTTAAAAATTGAAGAAACTGAAAGATCTAAAATTATTTTGCTATCCAGAGTAAGATGTAATAAATGTCCTAGAAGTAAAGATATGAAGTCCAAAGAAGTATATGTTAGATGCAATGAACCAGTATGCACCAAATGTGCAAACACTATCTGTAACGATTGCATCTAAAAACTTCCAAGATTTTAATATTATATTTAATTTAACAATATTTGTTTATATTTTTTATATAATCTATAATTTGTAGACTTAGATTAAAACATAAATTTTTTTTCTTTTTCCGATTATTTGTCTTTCAATGTATTTTATTTCAACACTGTCCACATTGTGTTCATTTTATAATCAGTTAACGTTTTCTTTTAGATTACTGAAAAACTGAGACTGTTATTATACATATCTAGTTGTAATATAATATTCGTAAAGTATTATTTTCGAACTATAAAGCGTTCTTCTTTCCACCTTTTATTATGTTAAAAATGGCAAAAATTTATTGGGGTCCGCCGGACCCCACTGTACCTATAGCTTGACTAAAAAGGCATGATACCTGTTACGGGTTGAACTTTCATTATTTTTTCCAACTTATAAATAAATTTCCGTCGGACTTTTTTTTCATCGTTTTTTTTTTCTACGTCAGCCATTGAAAGGCCACTTAAATGCGACTCGCGGATCGCGCGAATTTCCGCCGCGGCCTACCGCACTGTCGTCGGGCCGTCGATATTCCACGTAAGCGTACGCTACCTACGCAAGTTACACGCAAGTAGATAGTACGTCCGCCGTTGACGTACGCGTGCACGGCATCGCGACTGCTCGTGGGCCCGTTATGAATGAAACGTTCGCGCGAGTATCGCGCGCGTACCGCGTCGCAACGTGCACGGCAAGCGTCGACGCCGCTGGCTCGTCTCGATTATATCGTCCCTAGCCCGTCGCCGCCGTTGCGGTGGCGTGCTTGGTCAGACGTCACGGGCGCATTTTTGCGTGTTACGTCTCACGACGGACTAATTATCGCGATAACACGTGACAGTCGTCTCGACGATAATACAGAGAGTGCCAGCGCAGATGTCAAACTTCTATTACATCGAAACGAATTGTTTGTGACCGCGCGCGCGCGGGGCGTCTTGGCAACGCGCGTTGCCAAAAAGTCGCTGTATCGATGCTCGAGCAACTCGCTGCGCGCGCGCGCGCGCAAATATTCGCGTTATGCCAGACGGCTCCGGATATATTTCGGACAAGCGGCCAGGTCGTAAAAGACCGATACCGCTGGTAAAACCGCTCGTTATTCTCGAGCACGGAATAATTTATAGATTCGGTTTTGCGGATGAGCGTATGTGTGTGCACGCGGTCTCGCGACGTTAGCCACCAGAAAGCTATTATATGGTACGACTGTTATATTACTCCTTGAGGAGTGTGCAGAGAGTGTATTCGCGCGAATAAATCGACGCTTAGGTGCTTACACGTCATACGTTTCCTCCTGCCTCCTTCTCCCTCGGGGAAAATTGTATTGCTAAATGATTATTCATGGAATGAAACGTCGTCCGCCGTGACATCATCGCGCGAAGTCGGAGAACGCGTCGCGAAGTTACGCGGCGCTTATACGCAATAAGCGGTATCACGCTTATACGCGATGATATTGCCTCGATAAGGCGATACAGACTTTTGTTTCAATTCGCCCAATCAAATAACGACGGCGAAGGAACGCGCGACGTGTGTCGCACGTCCGTTTGTTCTTCCGATGGCAGCTGGCGGCGCGGCGAGTATTTTTAGCGTCTCCCGTTAAAATCGAGTACATCGTCTCGCACGACGGTCCGTTACTTTCGTACCAACGACAATGCGACGATTAGCGAGGGGAGACGTACGGAGGCATCGATGTTTAATGCACCGACCTGCTACAGTTGCTACTGCTGCTGCTGTTGCTGCTGCTGTCGCGTGCTACACGTGGCCTAACCGTTTTAGCACTAGAAACACCGAGCGGTCGTTTTTTACCCCTTTTACTTTTAAGTTAATATCCTGTTTCTCGTGTAAAAGACAAAATAGAACGGAGTACTCCGTCAAAATAAAGGAGATAAGGTACAAATTCCAATTACGGATCAAACTCGATTTGTTAATATATTAAAAAAATACACATTATGATGAAAACATCAAAATTTATTTTATACTCTATATTTCCTTTATAATTATATTCGAAGGTTTATATTTACAATACAAACATTCTTAATGTTTAAGAAAAAATCTAGTATATATATATATATATATATATATATATATACACTAGATTTTTTCTTAAATATTAAGAATGTGTTTTCATCATAATGTGTATTTTTTTTAATGTGTGTGTGTGTATGTGTGTGTGTGTGTGTACATATATATATTTCTCATAAGCAACAACGATAGATGCAGGACGCAATTATTTAGCACTACTACTCTGAAGCAACATCTGGTTAGCTGTTTTGTCCGTCGGTGTCTCAATAGTTTCGATTTTTACCGTTAGATGACAAAAATCGTTAAATGTTTTCAAAATAATATTTATGACATTTAAAAAATATTATTTACTTCATTTAAACACGCAAACATTTTTTCTTTCAATGTTTTTTGGGTCTGCCAAATAAAAGGTTAATTTAAAAAATATAAAAAAAAGTCAAAAGAGTAACATGGTATTATAATGTTAGGAAATGCATTCGTTCTTGAGGAAAATTAAGCTACATCGCTTTTTCATTAACCTTATTACACTTTATTAATTCCGACCCGATCGCGGTGCAGTATTTCCAGAATTTGCATGACGTCGTCATATAACTCAGTACGAAATGACGTTTCGCGTTGTTTCTTTCCCTCCAAGTTGAGTCCAGCGAACGCGATTAATGGCTATACCCAGTGATTCGCGGATTACGAATTTTTTATACGCGGTTTAATTCACACTGTCGCGCATTGCCAATTCGTCGGTGATTCAGCGATCGTATTGTTCTTGTTGCAGTGTGCCAAAGTATAGACATAAGGAATAGCGTGGATCAATTTTCAAAACTGGAAGGATGTCGAGTGGTCGAGGGCTTCGTGCAAATTCTCTTGCTCTACAATGCGAACCACACGGCCTACGCCAACATCAGTTTTCCCGAACTAGTGGAGATCACCGGATATCTTTTTTTGTACAGGTACGATTATCTGAAAGCATATCACGCGTAAGTTGCCGCGCGAAAATCCAAGTTTACGTGAAATTAAACTGAAATTGAAGGAGAATCACTGAGAACCCATGCACAGATGGCTTAGTGACATAAAAGAATAAAAAGAGAAAAAAATTTTATGGCACTAAAGCGTCTCTGTGCATGAGTTCTCAATGACCCTCTTTGATTTTATCATCAGAGTCTTTAACTACTTCGTTTTTTACATGCGATTCTTACAGCCTGTATGATGCTTTCATGTGATCTCATAGAAACCGTGGAACATTGCCGTGCATTTATCTTTCCGTCCAAGGAGGCATGCAAAATACCGAGACGAAAATAACAATAAATACATTTGTCGTTGAAAAACAAATGTTCGTTCAAACACTCATTAACATTAATTGCGCGCACTAAAGTTCTCTGCGTTCGTCTTTCCAGAGTGAACGGATTGAGGAGCATCGGCCATCTGTTTCCAAACCTGACGATCATTCGCGGGCATTCTCTTTTTATCAATTACGCCTTGGTGGCATTCGAGGTGATGCAGCTGCAGGAGATCGGTCTCCACTCGCTGACCAACATACTGCGTGGGTCCGTGCGATTCGAAAAGAACCCATCACTGTGTTATGCCGATACCATCGACTGGAACATCATCGCCAAAGCCGGCAAGGGAGAGCACGTCATATCAGTAAGCATCTTCGATCTTATCTCGATGCAATGGTACCCGAAGCAGCGGAGACTTCAGATTTCGCGGGAGAGTTCCGTTGACAGGCCCGGTTAATTCGTCGAGAACTTAAAAACCCGAGACAAACTGTTGACAATCCTTACCTTCGCTCATGTCTCGCTTGGCGAGAGCGATGATCGGTGTCTCTCATCGTGTCCGCGCTCACGTGTGCAAATAAATTATCGTTGGCAGCACTCAACGAGCGTTAAAATGTATGGCGCGATAATGCAGCAATAATAGTGTCGCTCTTCCGAAAATACGCGGACATACCTTACCGCTACAAAGTGTATCTCTCGGTTCAGACGAAAGAGAATACTGTAGTGCGCGCGCGCGCGGCTCGTCACGCTTCGCAGCGCGGAGCGACACGGCACGGCGGTCTCCTCTTGGCGGCGAATTGTTAAGGGACAAGAAATCCGAGGCGGAAGCGACTGAAAATTGCTTCATTTATTTTACAACGAATGCACATCGCGCGAAAATCGCCGAGGGTGCAACGAAATTGTGAGAAGCGACGCGACGACGACGTGACGCGACATTTTTCAACACGAACGGAATCCTCCAAGCGATCGGCTGCTGAGAGCCGTTGTCATTAACTGAGTGTGCGTGCGTGAAAACCGGGCCAATCTGAACCGCGATCGAATGATAGACTAATCGATCTACGGTGACATGATTGATTATGCGTAAGTCATAAATTTCCATTTTATTGACCGATATTGAACGATCAAACCGACGTTTTCGAACCGACACCTTCTCTCTATTTCCATCGAATATCTCATGAAATCGTATCACGAGGAGGAGAAACGACAAAGTGTGACACGGATTTGCCCGAGCCTTTCGCAATCTGTTTTTCGACCTTGACATTGGCGCAGTCCAATGGCAGTGTCTTCGTTTTCTTCTTTTCCTTTCTAACGAATACGCACACAGCGATAATACAACTCCCGCGTACTTCTAATAACATTTAAAGCGTTCTCTTTTTCTCCTCAGGTATTTCTTAAGATACAAGATTGTAATTCGTTTAGTCATCGTATGTCATGGGAAATTAAGGTGTAGAAGAAACCGATTGCGGAAAGAGCGATAGCGAGAAAGCGGCACCGATAACTTATCTAGCAAAAAAGTGTTGAATTAGAAATACTAATATCTCTTCATAGCTTCATGCCGGGATTTTTTCATATAAATTACCAAAGGAAGGCGAAGAATTGTAATTTTTCAGTAAAAAACGTACTTTATCTCTCCGAGCTATCGTATCTAGTAAAGCTTTGCACAGCGAACATACGAAGAGATATATCAAGAGTATCGGGAAGAAATGATAGAGACGAAGAATACATTTGGGAACAAATTGACGTGTATGTGAATGTGCGAATCAGCGTCATCACGGTATATGCAATAGTGTTTCGTTTTTCAGGGTAACAAACTAACGAACGGATGTCCGGTGTGCGAAAAAAGCTGTCCGGGAAAGCCAACCAAACCCGACGAGACCATGTGCTGGAATCGACAACACTGCCAACGAAGTAAGTTATCATCGCGATTAATTGAATGTGTTCTTGCCGAGTTCACAAGAGAAGCTGCGAGTCGATGCGTTAATAATCTCAAACGAAACAATTTGTCGAAACAGTATGCGACAAGTGCGGGGACGGCGCCTGTGACGATACGGGAACGTGCTGTCATCCTTTCTGCTTGGGGGGATGCACAGGACCGACAGCCAAAGACTGTAAAGCGTGCAAGAATTTGTTGGTGAATGGTAATGAGTGCATGGATCGTTGCCCGAACGGCACCTACGAGTTCATGAACCGACGTTGCGTCGAGGAGCAGGAGTGTCGTGAGCTGTTGAAGCCGCGCGAAGCGTTAGACAGTGTCCAGAATTGTCCGTACAAGCCGTTCAACGGTAGCTGTGTGATCGAGTGCCCGGCCGGTTACATGGACGTCGGAATCGGCAAAAAAATGTCCTGCAAGAAGTGCGAGGGTCCATGTCTTAAGGAGTGTTCCGCCACGAACGTGGACAGCATCTCTTCCGCGCAAAAGCTCCGCGGGTGCACGCACATCAAGGGCAGCCTGGAGATACAGATACGCGGCGGGAAGAGCATTGTGAAGGAGCTCGAGGAAAGTTTGAGCATGATCGAGGAGATAGACGGCTATCTGAAGATCGTCAGAAGTTTCCCGCTGATATCCTTCAACTTTCTCAAAAGGCTACGCATAATACGCGGTAACGTCCTCGAGAACGGCAAATACACTCTCTCCGTGTTCGATAATCAAAATCTTCAGGAGCTCTGGGACTGGAGCACACATAAGAACATCACCATCTTGTCTAAAGCGGGTCCCCCCAAGATCTTCTTTCATTTTAACCCGAAACTATGTCTGTACAAGATCGAAACGTTGCGCGAGAAAGCCAAGCTGGACGAGTTCACCGATTATGACGTGGCGCCTGATAGCAACGGGGACAAGATCGCCTGCAACATCACCGAGCTGAAGACCAGGGTCGTCAAGAAAACTTCTAGAGGTGCGATTATCGAATGGGAAGCCTTTATGCATCATGACACGAGGTCCCTTTTGGGATACGTCGTTTACTTTATCGAAGCGCCTAGGACAAACGTCAAGATGTACGATGGTCGCGATGCTTGCGGCGGCGACGGCTGGAGGGTCGAAGACGTTTCCGCCGAGATGCCGACGGCTTACAACAACACGATACCACAAAAGTCTTTTGTTCTCACTCACATATTGACCCAGCTGAAGCCGTATACTCAGTACGCTTACTACGTCAAGACTTACACCATAGCCACGGAGAGATCTGGTGCGCAGAGCATGGTCAAGTATTTCACGACTCTACCGGACATACCTAGCTCGCCCAGGGCCTTATCAACCTACAGCAACTCTAGCAGCGAATTGGTCATGTCCTGGTTACCGCCGCTCCACAAAAATGGAAATCTGACGCATTATCGAATAATCGGTCGCTGGGAGCCCGATGACCCGAACTTCATCGACCAGAGGAACTACTGTGACGAACGTAATTCATGTCATTTTATGTCTTTTTTTCGATATCGACAGATATCTAGATTGTAAAATAACGTTCTAAGACGGATATAGAAGTTTTATTAAAAACTTATCACAATTGTCAACTTGCTTGTTGATTACGTGCATTTTATGATAGATAATGAAATAGTTGGGAAATAATTTATTTCTAATTTCAGCTATGTTATTACCCGAGAAAAAACCAATGTCCGTCATGGTGGAAGAAGAGAAGAAGCGTGCCGAAGAAGAGAGGGATCAGTCGACAAAACAGTTCGATATAGGTTCTTGCGACTGTGCGGATCGCGAGATGGATCAGTCGATGCGTGAGAAAGAAGTTTCCAGTTCGATCGCCTTTGAGAATGCTTTACACAATCAAGTCTACGTGAAACGAAATGTAAACGTGAACGTGCGTAGAAGACGCGACGTTCTGGAAACATTGCAACAATACGGAGATTCTAATAACAACCAGGTAAGGACCATAGAATTTCAAATTTGGCTTTGAGAGATATTCGCGATTTCCTCCAATCAATAAATAAGAAAATAACGGAAAACGTAAATGATGTTTGTGCAATATGCCTCTAAGAATTAATAAAATTTGCGGCACTAGTAAAAAGTAATAAATTGATATGATTAATCGCAACTTCTTTACTAATTATAGCTAAATATAATTCATTATATATTTAATGTTTAGGACGAAGAAGGCAGTAATAATAAAATCGAAAATGGTACATACACAGCGTTCGAGGTATTAGTACCGAGTACAAATCTTACATACGCTATGAAGAATCTCCGGCACTTCGCTGCGTATGATATCGAAGTTCAAGCCTGCAGGAAACAGGTCAATGAGACGGATATAAAAAATTGTTCGACGAAGAGCATGAAAACGTATCGAACGTTGGCTATGGAAAGTGCAGATAATATTCCACCGAATACTTTTCGACTGAGTATCTCCGGAGAGAATAACAGTCTCACCATTGTCAAATTGTATTGGGACGAGCCACCTCAACCCAATGGCCTAATTGTCACATACCAAATCGAATATAAAAGAATAGACATAAAAAATGTGAGTAATACACATCTTAGATTTCGCTACTACAGTTTGAACGAGAACACCCCGAAGGAGAGAGAGAAAAGAGAGAAAGAGAGAGAGAAAGAGAGAGACAGCATATTCTCGAAGAATTATTTTGAAAACGAAGAAAAAAAATTCAGTTAGAAAGTATCTTGAAGAAAATTTAGAGAAATCCCTAGTTTCCATCATAATTTAGAATCTGTATCTAGTATGTACTGCCATGTTATATCTCATCTAAATGCAGCTTATTTCCTGTATTGTACAGATAAAGCCAACAGTGGTGTGCATTACAAGACGCGATTTTACCAATGCGGCTAACTCGTACCTCTTGAAAGACCTTCCCGCTGGAAATTATTCTGTAAAAGTTCGAGCTACGAGCTTAGCTGGGAATGGCGCGTATACCGAACTAAAATATTTTTATATAGAGGAATACGGCACGCTCAGTACATTCTGGATTTTGTTCTTGTCATTTTCTTTCATCATCATAATTTTAGTTTTCATGGGGGCGTTTCACGTGTGTAGAAGAAAATTATCGGGAAATGCTAGTATAATTATCGCGACGGTGAATCCGGAATACGTGAGCACCGTATACGTGCAGGACGATTGGGAAGTGTCCAGAAAGAATATCGAGTTGTTACGGGAATTAGGAAATGGTTCTTTCGGTATGGTATACGAGGGAGTGGCGAGGGAATGGCGAGGGAGGGATGTTGTGAAGAGCAAACCGGAAGTACGATGCGCCGTGAAGACTGTAAATGAAAATGCGACCGATCGTCAACGCATAGAATTTCTCAACGAGGCCTCTGTAATGAAGTAAGAGATAAATTGTGTTCTCGCAACTCTTTGACAATTATTCCACTTGAATGTCGACTCACGATTTGTTTTTATTGCAGGGCTTTCAATACACATCATGTGATTAAATTGCTGGGTGTAGTATCACAAGGTCAACCTACACTGGTAGTTATGGAGCTCATGGTGAATGGTGATCTAAAGACATATTTGAGGAGCCATCGGCCGGATGTTTGCGAGAATTTTTCCAGACAACCGCCGACGTTGAAGAGAATTATACAAATGGCGGTCGAAATCGCGGACGGTATGGCTTATCTCGCTGCGAAAAAATTCGTTCACAGAGATTTGGCTGCGCGCAATTGTATGGTAGCTGAGGACCTCACCGTGAAAATCGGCGATTTTGGGATGACGAGAGACATATACGAAACCGATTACTATAGGAAAGGAACCAAGGGACTTCTACCTGTCCGATGGATGGCACCGGAAAGTTTGAAAGACGGTGTATTCACCAGTTTTTCGGACGTGTGGAGCTATGGAGTTGTTTTGTGGGAAATGGTAACACTGGCTTCGCAACCGTATCAGGGCTTGTCAAACGATCAGGTGAATATAATTTCTACGGTAAAACACTGATCTTGATCGCCGTATCTTTTTCTAACTCGCTACGATGTTATTTGCAGGTGTTGCGTTATGTGATAGAAGGAGGAGTCATGGAACGACCAGAAAATTGTCCTGATTCACTATACAACTTGATGAGGTGCACTTGGAGCTATAAAGCCACGAGAAGACCTACCTTCATAGACATCGCAACGATGTTACTGCAAGAAGTTAATATAGAGGCCTTTGAGAGGGTTAGCTTTTACCACAGTCCAGAAGGAATCGAAGCTCGAAATCAAAATAGTTCGCATTCACCGCAAAATGACAAGTAAGCGCACACAAACTTACTTTAAGGTAGTTTGCTTAGAATATTTTGCGTATCTAATCTTACACTTGAATTTAATTTGCGCAGAGACTTAGAAATGGCCGCTCTACAAGATTTGCGAGAGGAAGAAATCGAAGGCGAAGAAGATTCGCCGCTACGTCAGGATTTTGGCGATTTCGCAAGTTTTGAGTCTACCAGTATTAAAAACAACACGAGCCCGCGATATATAAACGCGTACAGTGAAAATCCGAAAGCCCTTTCCACTTTCCATGACATGAACTCGTCGAAGGTACCTCTTAAAGCTGGATTCGACGATTTCGATGGCGTCTCCGGAGATTCGCTTGCATCTAGTAAGGACACGTTGAACGTGCCTTTTGTAGAAGACAGCCTTAAATCGGTCAAGAGTTCGCCTTTTATACAAAACAAAAATACATCTCGCAGTAACGTAAGTCATGTTTCTCTGGGAAAGTCCGGGAGTCCTCAGAGTTTAGTCAAGAGAAACTTTCTCGATAGTCCAAATCCCTCGTGTAAACCCCGCGGTAATCCCGATTACGAAAATCGAAGTCCTGAAATTATGTTGGTCCACGAGAAGATGGAGATCACCTCGTCACACGTGAATTTTCCGTCTATGGACGCTATAGATATTGATATTAACGGTGACAAAAGTGAAAGCAAGAGCATGGGCGAGTATGTGAACAAGCCGGAAACATTGAATAACGGTTACATAGGTAACACCACCACGTAGCTTCGTCGATATCCCAACATTAATCGGCGTCCTATGTGGAACACACGTATGAGACAACTTGAAAATTGATTATTCTCGGAGAAAATCGACACGAATATTTCAGCAAAAAGGCAGTGTCTGTGCCAAATTAATAAGCACATTGGGTCGCAGTTTCGAGAGAATCGCATTGGGAACAGTGGTTTACGTATATGAAAGGCTGCGTTTTGAGATTCCTCTTGTGTGCGTGAAGCACCGCTCAATGTGCTTCTTTTAGACTAACATAAGTTGTACTCATAAGTTTACATTTTAAATCTCTAGACATAACTAAGCAGGTCCTAACAAGCAAGTGAAGTTTTCTTATACGGGTGTTACCATGTCTTAATTCCGTCTCTCTAAATGTAACTAAATATTGCTACGCGTGTACAGCTAATTATATATTTGTTGCGCTGAGATGTATGTCGGAGAGAAAGAGCGAATATATTTATATCAGATACTGTCTTTTTGAAGCTATCGTTGTAACATACGTTAATATGAGAAATTTAGCCTTAGCTAAAAACACCGTTATTGTGGAGTCACACGGAGCTCCAGTTTAAGCCAAACGTCTCAATTCGAAATTGGGCTATACGAAAGAAAATTGCGGATATCTTTCCGGTGACGGCAGCGCCATGCTGAGATATTCGCTGACAAATGTATGGCAGCCCATCTCCCCATTAACTATTTAGCATGTAAGCATGTATCAAAGAATTGAGCAGGTTGATTATTTGTATCATAGGATTTTTGTTTAATTTTCAGTCGCAAGGTACGCTAGTTTCTAATGCTATAAGTACTATATATTTGTATAGCATCGGTTTATTTTCCGACTTTTAATAATAAGTATAGCGAGACAAAATGGCGATTGGGTTAATTGTTGTGTTGGTATGATATTTTGTTTGCAGAAAGAAAGAGAGAGAGAGGGAAAGAGAGAAAGAGAAAGATAACGCATTTTATAAATTATATAAAGTATATATAAAATGTGAATTTGCGCCTGGTCGCCACTTTGTACGATTTTAGGCTTTGAACTCGTACAATAGCATAGATTCGATATATTTGTTGGAAAATATATATATATATACACACAAATATAGAGAAGGTGATTCAGAATATATAAGTCAACTTAGCAAATATATATATATATATATGTATATATATGTATATATATATATGTATATATATGTATATATATATATATATATATATATATATATATATATGTGTGTGTGTGTGTGTGTACACACATATACATATATCGCGCGTTCTTCTGATTTACAAATTTCTATTATATTTATGTTTTTTTTATATTGTTTTAATGTTTTTGACTTTATTATATTGGTTGATCTAAGGTTCTGAATCCACCAATCGCTCGATGTATAACAGGAGAATTAGAGAGTAAGGATCTCTTCAAGTTGAAAGCCTCAGTAACGAAAAAACGGTTGCGGTGCAAAGAGTTTATATGAAAACACACTTTGTTATCGTACAATTGTGGCACAGATTACTAAATGAGGCCGATTAGTATTTACAGCTTTATCATTTTCGATATCGACGTGATAATGTCTTAATCCCGAAACTGTCAAGTATCGCTAAAAGATTTAATAATGTTAATTTGAACGGCGCCCTACTCTCGTTTCTCATTCTGTCTATCTAGACAATATAGCGAATGTAGACATCCAACAAAGCAAACCAACACGAAACAAAACTATACCGTGTGTCTGAGAAGTTTCGGGACCGAGCGAGTAAAAAATCTTAATATAATCTACGAAAGAAACTTCATATCCGTGTAATCCCCACTAAACCTTCGAACACTGCATTAATGTTTCTCCAGCGAGCATCAAATAACTTTGTCAAAAATTTCTCGTATTATCATCGACTCTGTCCCGAGACTTTTCCAGCTTTTATCTTGTACATACGACATAGGCTACGCGTCTATGTAACGATACTATTTCGTGGAGCCGGCATATGAAACCATCGCCTCCGTCAGCGTCTTCCAAGCAGGACGCGTTCCTCACTAATGATAGCTACCACATCTTTTTTGATCGAGAGTCAATGTATTTATCCTGTAAGGATCCACAAGCCGTGCAATTCGCAGTCATGAGTCATGATGAATTTCCATATCGTGCAATAGTGTCGTCCGTGTTAAGCTTATCGCTCCGCAAATGGGACTGTTCGCAGCAGCTCACACGTTCATCCGCGCAAGATACATCCGTTCCGCCCCGGGCGGTCCGTTTCTGCGTCGCTCCACGAAATAGCTGAAATTCAGAGGCATACCACGTGCTTTTGAGTAGACGAGAGAACGTAGACTGTCTTAGCCCGGTGAGAAAACAAGATCGATTGCGACGGACGGAAAGACCCGTTGAATAGCCTCGTGCATTCGTTGCAATTGTGAGATAATTAATATCGGACGCGCGAGTCCTAATACGGAACAAGCTATGGGAAGAGAATTTATACGAGCAACGCAATGCAATGCAGTTGAGTCTAGACATAACGAGCCTCTAACACAAGACTGATTAGCTAATCCCACTGTACATCCGTAATCTCTCAGTAAGTTAAAGATACAAGACAAAATGGTAGAAGTTCCACATCGTTTCCATATCCACAAACGACTCTCCCCGCCCGCCCACCTATCCTCTGCCCTCGTCCCCTCTGTTTTATTATACTGTTTGTTTCGCCATACGTCCGCTCGAAGGTATATACTTAGTCCATCTCGATATTTATTTAACGCGATCTGTAGTTGCCTCTTCGTTCCTACAACGTCGCGTTCATTATCGCCGTGCCACTTTGGTTCGTCGCCGCTTTTATCGGGACAGATACGTGTGATAGAATATACAATATACATGCTAGAACTGTCCTAAGCTGTTTGACGTTGATCCTTCTTTAATGCGCTTCTCTGAAATAACGTTCTTGGTTGGAAAGGTTCAAATTAAACGTGTAATATATATGTACATATATATTACAGTCAATTAAGGCCCGCGTCGAATATCCATTAAAGTCCAGAAATGTTAGACACTTTATCGTCCATTTACTTTGCCGAGGAATTTGACTCACGCGAACCCCAGTCTCTTTCTCACCCGAGTCTCCGTGGAGATCATCTCGCTGAGGAAAGAGCCAAATCCGAAATCGTGGAATTTTTTCACTAAGGGAATAACGCGTTATAGTCCCAAGGCACACCGTGTATATCAACGACTAAAGTACCAGTGACCTAATAGCAAGTACCTACTCTATATTCGTAATGTTTTACATGTATCGTACGTCAAGTAAGTCGCGATATCACAGATTGTATCTACAGACGATGCGGAGGAGGGAACATGTGATGAATTAATAATATGTAAAAATAAAATTCATTTTGTGCGACGAACATCGGGACGCGTCATCGCTGTCGTGAATTCGGTTGCCCTGTTTTTTTGGCACTCCGACACTCTTTTTTTTTTTTCCTCGTAAAGCACACCGTTTCATTCTTTCTCTCAGCTGTCACTCCACAGCTATCCTGAACTGACGGTCACGCGGTTGCCTGTTTCTTTTCTCATACGCAAAAATTCTCCGTTTGCTACCAACGTGCCAACGAACTAAGCGAATAAACGTTAATCTGCTAGAATACTATTACCTCCGATCGAGCGATTCGTGTAATCTTTATTCTACCACCTGAGTCATCGACCGAGTGTTGTCGGACCACGTCGCGATTGTGTACTTACGGTCTCGGACTCACGATGAATCTTTTTTTCTGTTTTTATTTTTTTTTTTCTCGTCCTTTGCAGCTCCCGCGACTTTTCATTTAACATGGACGATCTGTTTCCCTTCCTCTCCTCGAAGTTCTTTGAACGCGGAACGCGTGCGAGACACGCGTTTGGAAAGGACGAAAGGCGGTTTTACGGCAGATCAAGATGTACGTTGTGAACGCGTTTGATCTTCGGAAATCAAGCAGAAAAAGGAACACGATTGACGACAGATTAAATCATCAGTCGCCACGGCTGATGTATCATAAAAATAATGATAATAGTAATAATAATAATAATAAGCCTCGCTCGTATTCCGTATATTTAGTATAACGAATGAACAGTTATAAAACGCTTAGACCATGTCGCGTACTATGTACGAAGTAAGGTATCGTAAGGTTAATACGAAATGTTTCCTATATGGCCGCGAGTCTCCGTATTGTGTAAGGAAAACGGCGCGCGATCGCTGGATTAGGCCTATAGTTTGAGGTATAGCTCTGTAATATATTAGATTAAACTGGGATTAAGGTAGCATGTAATTGTGTCTGAAAAAATTGTGCAACTATAAAAGCGCAAGAGAAGAAGAGTGTGCCTGTTGACGCATGTGTCGATCAATTTAGAAAGTGTGTGAGATTGGATGTTCTCGTTTGTTGTAATGTAAAATGTAATGTAAATCGTAAGGCGGACATACACGGGTGGAAGGCCGAGCGCCGGGATCAATGTACATCTGTATCAACGATAGGGAAGATCGAGGAATAACAGGGACATGACAGGGAGAATGTTATTTTCCGTCGTCGACTCACGCACGGATTTAAAGCGTGCGTGCGTGCGCGCGCGCGAGTAAATTCAACCAACTTTCCGTTCGCTCCGATCATCCTTCCTGAGACTGAAGCGTAACTCGTTCGTTGCAAACGTCGCGAAAAGCGTCGACGCGATTATTCCATCGATCCATAATATATTTATTTGTATTTATTCGAAATGAGACACACACACACACACACACACACACACACACAGATGACTCTTTTTTAGGACAACCGCAACTCGAGAAGTTGCTAACTCATTGGTCAATGTTGATAAATCTTTTGCACTTGAGCAAATATACGAGCGTTACGGTGATTCTCAATCCCTGCTGCAATTGATATATCACGCCCTTCATACTTCGTGAACGTTTTTTCCCCGGAGTAAACTCGATTTGTATTGGTTTCATGTTGAATTTCTCACAGGCCGATATTTTCCCCACTATTCTTTCCTCATCGAAGGTAAACTTTTGCCGCTTACGCCCGCTATAAAATTCTCCAAAACGGAAGCCATCGTGCGAGGCCTCGTCTTTCTTCTTTTCAAATTATAACAACTTTGAGTAACATTGTCCCACATTTTCTACGCGGCTCCCGTTCATCTTAAATTTTGTTCGTAGATACACTGAAAAAAGATACTTAACAATTTTTATCTGTGGGATGTAAAGTTTATTTCTTTGCGAATAAATTTTATATGCCACGAATAAAAATTTATTTTCACAAATCAGATTTTCATTTCTTTCCTCTTAGAGCTTCCCTTGTTACGATTGTTGTATTTAAAAACAAAGTTGATAGACAAAATTCCCGAAACCGCATCGCGCATGTATATCACACTCTCTCGCTATGCTGTTCTTGAGATTCTTTCGTTATATTCTTTTGTACGCCGCATTATATGCGCAAGTACATCATCCAGACAGACTATTTATTTTCCGTCAGTGTTCAAACAGACTTACCGTTTCTCGCGATAGATGTTACTCAACTATGCAACCGCTCAATACTGCATTGCTCAAGCCCCGTATCAGTCTAACAGTACCGACAGCACCGTGAAAAACGAACGAAACGTTATGAATCCTGCATTATTTTATATCGCATTCAAGATACAGGCAGTCAAGGTCTTTTCAGTTCGACGGAAAATGAAGAAAATGCTTCTATACTTTCCATATCTTTCATGTTTTCCTTTTACTTTTGCACGGTCATAAACTTACGAGAAATTTAGGCCGCGTTACAACTACGCGATACCCGTTCCAAGCTGAGTCTCTTTAGTTTTACCGGGAATGCACTCGCTCTTTTAAGTGCGGGTACATTTCTTTTTTTTTTTTTTGTATGTATTCTCCGTAATTCAAATTATACAACGGGAATGTACTTTCTCTCTGTGTATGCCCGAGCTGTGTTAAAACTTTACAGATGACTTCATCGTAAATATTAGTCACATTTACAAAATAGAAATGTTCTCTCGCGTTAAAACGTAAATTTATAATATAACAGAAAATATTTTGATAAAACGAACCCGTATATCTCTTCGATTTCTCGTGTTTTGACAGAGGAAATGTAATCTGCACGCAGTGACACTTTATTCTGCTGCGCACGCGCGTGTACAAATGGACAAATATGAATAATATATTATTAATTTTATTTATATTTATTCTTTTCCATATATATATATATATATATATATATATATATATATATATATATATATATATATATATATATAT